ATAGTTGTGTGTGTGGGATGGTGTGGTTCCATACCAGGGCTTGTTGGGTTTTGTCTTTCTGTGGTGTTGTAGGTAATGCATGGGACTGCAAACTCATTTCAACTGCAAAGTCGGCGGGTCAAGCTCACCAGCCACTCCTCGGAAACCCTCTACAGGGTCGCTATGGATCGGAACCAACTCAACGGCACTTAACAACAACAACAACAAGGGATAATTAGATTCATGGGTTTGTTAGCTGTTTGACTATTCTCTTTGGTGAAGTGTCTGTTCGTGTCCTTTGCCCATTTTTTTATTTGGAATTGTCTGTCTTTTTTGTTATTGAGTTGTTAAAGTTTTCTATATATATATAAGATATTATACCCTTAGGAAGCCCTGGTATGGTGCTGTAGGATAAGCACTCGACTGCTAACCACAAGGTCAACAGTTCAGACGCACCATCAACTCTGCAGGAGAAAGATGAAGTGTTCTGTTCCTATGATGATGTACAACCTCAACATCCAACATACGCTTGCCATGACTCGGAAACGACTCCACGGCATTGAGTTCTGAGTTTCGTGTCTCGGTGATAAGAGTGATTCTTCTTATGCCTCCTATCTCAGGCCTCCTGTATCTTCCAGCTCAGCCTCTCTGGTGATGTTTGGTGATGCTGAGGAGTGGCCGTGAGGCTGTGATGGCAACCCTGGCTAGAAACACCAGCCGCCCCAGCAGCCCCTGAAACGAGGGAGGTGGCTGGAAGGAAAGCTGGCTGGGCCCTCTCAACAGCCTTTCATCATGACCCGTTATCCACGCAACCTTTCCTTTGCATCATTATTCTCAAGGGAACAAACGAGGCTCCTGAGGGCTGGCTGCTTGCCTCTGCTCCTGAGGGACACGCATGCCCTGCAGCTGTTGCTGAAGCAGCTGGACAGCGCGGCTGCAACGGAAGGACCGAGTCGGCAGGGTCACACAGAGGTGCAGCACAGTTTGGGAGCCAGCTCAGCTGCTCTGGGTGACTCAGGCGGGTGGGGTGTGCGTGCCTGTCCCACTGTCTCCAGAGTCACCATCTGTCCCTATCCTGCCCCACGGGGCTTCAGCCTCCAGTTCATGGTCCGGGAAGGGGTGGAGACACATCACACAGTCTGTCACTCACACACACTCACAACTCTCACACACACCTCACACAATCTCACACAAAATCACTCACTCCTCAGAACCTCACACACTCATATACACTCATATCTGACACACTCACACACTCTCTCACATACAAACACACACGCACACCCATGTCATCATCTCACTCAGTACAATCCCACAGTGATATCTGACACACTCAGTCTCACACACACTCGCACACACTCATGCCTCACAATAGCACAGCTCTGAGCAATAGCCCATGCTCACGGACATGCACATGTGACAAACACAGTCTCACTAACATTGCTCACTCATACACACTCACATTCCTACACACATGCAGCACACACCTCACACTCACACACATATGCACACCTCACACACACACACGTGTAAACACCCACACACCTCACACTCACACACATGTGTACACACCCACACATCTCACACATACTTATACACAGCCCACACTCACATGCACACCACGCACACTCACATACTTACACTCAGGCTCACACACTCACCATTTACACACATACTTCACTCACAGTTACTCATAAAACACTCATACAGTCACACACACTTACACATATTCACACACCTCACACTCATACTTACACACACATACCTGACACACATGCTCACACACTACACACTTTTAGGAGAGAGGTTTCTGGGAACCACACCATCCCACACACACAACCACTCGTATCCCACATACCCTTACATATGAACACACACACTGCCCTGCCCCCAGTCATGTTACACACTCACACTCCTACACACACACTTATAGGAGAGAGATATAGGATGCATCTATGAAATACATACACATGCTATAATCACACACATACACATCATACACATCCCTACATACACACACAAGAGAGAAATATGGTTTTCCATGAACTACAGACACACTCACGTCTCACACACATTTATACTTTCGTGCACACACTCATGTTCTCTCAGGCACTTACTGACACACACACACCCTTACATTGGCACACGAGCTAACGAGTAGAGAAAAGGCGTGCTTCTCCTACCAGCCCTCATTCTCTCCCAGCCTCCACCCAGCATCCTGGCACAGTGTCCCAGACAGCAGGCTCTCAGGACAGTCTCGCTCCAGCACATCCGGCCGTCCCCAGCTGGGGAGCTAACCCCTAAGCATCTTCCCCTCAAGGTCACAATCTCAGGAACAGACACCAACATCCTGTCCCCTAGGGCCCTCACGCCAAACCTGCTACTCCCCCAGGGTCCAACAGAGAGATTTCTGCACCTAGGCAAGAGAAGTTCTGCGGCCCCCTTCCTAGAGCAGCATAGAAAACATCTCCTTGGTCTTCTGAGCTGTCTGCAGTCATCCCTACTCGGGCTGCTGGGAGCTTTCCTGGGAGATTCAAGCAGTCTTAGGGTTCCTTTCTGCAGCGGCCTTTCATGTCCAAACATCACAGTGCACTTCCTCATCTGCTTGATGATGCCTTTGTGTTGATTCTAATTTAGTCCCATTAAACTTTTGACACATGCAATGTGGCACCCCATGAAACCTGGTTGTCGGCCATATCACCCCTCCTGGGCACCACCATCTGTCTCCCCAGCAGTTAAGGGCTGTCCATCTGGACAGGGTCCAAGCCATGGACCTGGACTCAATTTCTACCACCTGTTCCAATCCAGTCTACAACACATCCTGCCTGCTTTGCCTCCAGAAGACACCCAGGGACCCCACCCTGAATGTTCCCTTCTCCTTGCCTCCTTCCCCTGCCCTCATCTCCATCAGCAACCAGAAGGACCTTGAAAGGAAGCTCCCCCAAAAAACCTCGAGCTCCTCCACGTCTCCAGTGGCCAATGAGAAAGTCTGGTTTACTGGTTCCCCTCAGACCCTTTTCTGGTTTCCACACTCCTCCTTCTCTGTACCCACTTTCCACATGTTCCCTGCAGTCTTCACTGTTACATCCTCACATTTGCTCTCTTGCGTTCTGCCAACTTCGGGTGAAACGTCACGCAAAGGCCGGCATGACCACCAGTCTCCGCTGATGGGGCCAGCAAGCAGCGTCCCAGGCAGAATTCAGGCTTGTGCCCACCACAGCACCAGGAACCAGTGCTCCGGGATGGAAGGACAGACAGCATAGGTACTCCCCAAGTGCGTGCCGCCTGGCATTGATTGGGAAGACAGCGTGTGTGACACAGGACACTCCTGAGCAGCAAGGAAGCAGGGCATCAGGGAGAGGGACCCCATTGGCCCAGTCACAGCCCCCCAGGTATCTAGTTCCCGTCACATCCAGGTTGCATTCATGGAAGACTGACGGGCTGTAATGACACATGCAGTGTCTACCAGGGGCCAGTGAGTTGGGTGGGCAGGACTGTACAGACCCGGGCTACAGGTGCCCGAGCCTGGACCAAGGGGCCAAAGGCCTCAGAGGGACACGGGACCCACAAACAGGAGCCGAGAGTGTCTGTTCGTGCTTTGCAGGCCGAACAGCGGAAGTGCTTCCATCATTGTCCAGACACCAGTGGGCGAGGACCTTTCAACAACACTTCAAACTCTCAGGTACAAGTAGTGGACTTCGAAGTCTGGAGGGTCCACGGTGGTGCATAAGAGATGTCTGAGCCATCTGTCTATGTGAAATAGCCCCCGAGCGGCCTGGGTCTGCAACACACCCACCCCCCACAGCCGTGGGCGCTTATCCCCTGCTGTCCTGGGAACTGCCAACTCAGAGATCCCAGAGGGCTGCCTGGAAGCGAAGGCGCTGGGCTGGGTGTTGACAGAGGTCTTCTGTGAATTTTTGGTTTCCGGGGGGCATTTCCTCCCCAGGCCCCGCCCCTGGCCCCGCCCCAGACTTTCCCTGAGGCTCCGCCCAATCCCTCTGCGCAGCCGCAATGGGCTCAGACGCCTCAAACTTCCCCTTGCGGTTTCTCTGACTTCAGGACCCAAGTGTTCACCGATCCCAGAGGGAGCGGCCTTCAGCGTTCTGGGGGCTTGACATGGGGTGCGGCCAATATTCCGGGCGGCTGCAAACAGGCCTCCGGGAGCCGCGGCGCAAGCAGATGTGTGGGACTGCGGCTAGGCGCCCGCTCCACCCAACCCGGGCCCCTGGTCTAGCCCCCACCGCTGCCCCTCTGCCTGGGGTGGACTTCGGGAAGGGCCGTACCGTGGCCTCATGTGCTGGGGTAGACCAGGACAGGCCCTGGGAAGCAGATAGTTGCTGCTGCAGGCTCCGGGCTGGCCTCGAGCCAGTCTCTCCAAACCCTCTGTGGGTCCTTTCGGAACAGCATAGACTTGTTGGCAGCCACCCCAGGCGTGCCTCCGTGAGCCTTTTAGAGGCTAATGGTCCCCGGTGGAGACGCCTGGGCTCTGTGCCCATGAGGCGGACCCCGCCACCCTGTACACGCCCCTCACACTGAGAAGCCCCTCGGGGACTACGCTGCTAGGCCAGGGCGTGCTGGAGAGGAGCTGGGGGCTCCAGTCTGGCTGCTGTCTGGACTCAGGCCAAACCCACAGAGCCAGAGCTTCAGCAGGGGCACGCCTCCAGCTGTCCTGGGTCCTACTTTGTTGGGCCAGGGGCCGCCAGGCTTGGGACTGCCTCACGTTGATGCTCAGGAGGGTCAGCCCAGAGGGGACCAGGACTCGCTTCCTGATCCCTGTACCCTGTCAGGCTTCATCTCCCAGGTCCCAGGCTCCAGTTGGCTTTTGTGTCCCTCTCAGGAGACCACAGACCCAAGGGGACCCCCCTGCTCACTCCCCACCTCCCCAGCTGCCTTCCCAGAACATTTCCACTACATGCTGGCATGGTTCCTGCCCGTCTTCGCCCTGTGGAGCAGGGCAGGACGGGCTGGTGATGCCCCTGGGGGACAGTAAGTCCCTGCAGTGATCCAAATCTGACCCGGTCTCACTGGACCACACTCTCAGCCTTGCCCGGAAGGACCGCGGAGGAGTGGGGAGGGAGTCTGGCTGACACCGAGGCATCCGGCGTGTCCTGAGGACCTGAGGCCTCTGTCCAGCCTGGGCTGGCCTTCAGAAACCCAGACTGCGCCTCAGCTGCTTGGCCTGGACCGTGACTCAGACTCTGCTGCCCCTGAGGTCACCATCAGCTGAGTCACAGGCTAAGGTCCGGCTGCTATTACCTAGGCCACATAATGTGTGTGACCCCAGAGGCCACCCTCACAGCCCCCTCATCTCACAAAAAGGGGAAGTAAGGGGTCACGTCATGGCAGCCTGGTGTGTCCAGGAGGGGGACTGGTCCCAGAAAGCCTGGCTGTGCTGCTGGACCCAGAGCAGGCCCCAGGCGGCTACTCATCTGTTAGATGTGGGCATCTGTGCCGTGCGCCCAGCCTCAGGGCTGGGAGGGGACACAGTGATTGCACTGATGGTCACTGTGAGCCCACCCCTTTCTGCACTGGCAGGGACCCTATGTAGACCCCACGCTGACCGCTCCCTGAGCTTTCCTGGCACTCACATACTCACACCTGGAGGTGAGCAGGTGAGTCCCAGGTGAAAGTTTGCTGCAGACAGACTGAATGAACCCCAGAGAGGGGGCAACAGCTACCCCACCTGTCCCCCAGGGTGGTGGGCTGGCTCTCCGTCCGGTCCCTGAGTGCTCAGTGACTGCCCAGGCTCAGGCCAGCCCTTGTGCATGTTCAGCAGGGCCGTCAGATGGTTAGTTCTACCATCATCATTTTAATGAAAAAGATAAGAAATAGCCGATCACAGATGTCAATATAATTAGTACCTAACAACACTTGGGTGAATGGACGCTGGTTCACACTTACCCACACAGTTCTCCTGAGAAAATAGAACATTCCGGAAATACGGAATGGCTCCTGGGGCTGCCGAGATGAGGGGTGGAGACCTGGGGATCAGAGGGAGGAGCGTGGTCAGAGGAGGGGCGGGGCCATGTGAGAGGTGTGGGCAGAGTAGAGGTGGGGTCAGAGGAAGGGTGGGATCTGAAGAAGGATTGTGATCAGTGAAGGGGTAGAGTCAAGGGTCAAGTCAGTGGAGGGGAGGGATCAGAGGAAGGGCGGAGTCACATGAAGGTTGAGGTCAGATGAGGGGCGTGGTCATATAAGGGGCGTGGTCAGCGGAGGGGCAGAAATCTTGACTCTGGCCCACTGGGTCTGCACTGCCCTAGAGAATGCATGTCCAATTCAGAGCTCTGTCACCTGTTGGATTGCTGAGTTTCAGAGGCTCAGGACTTAAGTTAGTGCTGGGAGACAGGAGGGGACCCACAATCAAGGCCAACTTGAGAGCAGTTATCAATTGTAGATGGGGACACAGCGCAAATGCCCTGGACAGAGTTCTTCTTGTTATTAGGAGCGCAATAGAACGAAACTCTACCTGGTCCTGGACTAACCTCACAACTGTTGCTACGTTTGAGCCCATCGATGCTGCCTCTGTGTCAATCCATCTCATTGGGGGTCTTTCTCTTTTTCTCCGACCCTCTACTTTACCAAACATGATGTCCTCCTCTAGCTACTGGTCCCTCCTAACAATATGTCCGAAGTATGAAAGACTATGTCTGGCCTCCAAGGAGCACTCTGGCTGCACTTCTTCCAACACAGATCATTTGTTCTTTTGGCAGTCCGTGGTACTTTCAATATTCTCCTCCAACACCATAGCTCAAATGCATCAATTCTTCTACGGTCTTCATTATTCACTGTCCAACTTTCAAATGCATATGAGGTTATTGAAAATACCATGGCTTGCTTCAGGCGCACCTTAGTCCTCAAGCTGACATCTTTGCTCTTCAACACTTTAAAGAGGTCTTGTGCAGCAGATTTGCCCAGTGTAATACGTTGTTTGATTTCTTGACTGCTGCTTCCATGAGTGTTGATGGTTGATCCAAGCAAAATGAAGTCATGATAACTTCAATCTTTTCTCCATTTATATGGATGTTATTTATTGGTCCAGTGGTGAGGATTTTTGTTTTCTTACATTGAGGTGCAACCCATACCAAAGACTGTGGCCTTTGCTATGGACAAAGTGAATTGGTCCATATTTGCAACATAGCAGAGCCCTTCCATGATCCATGGGAAGAGGGATGGTGTTGTGTCCAAGGGTCTTTCCAGGTCTCAAACCAAAATGCCCTTGCTTGTCTTCACAGCCACCAAAGCTGAAAGGAGACCAAGAACCAAATTAGCCAAAGATTTAGCAGAAACTGACTTTATTTCAAAGCACTTTGAGTACTTGCTCCTCAGATGAAGGAAGAGAGGGAAGGAATCTGTCTCCAGATTGCCGAGACTGACCTAGTTTTCTGCCACATGGTACCGCCTTCTGATGAAGCCAGGTGTTCTCGCTGTCTCATGGTGATGACTGAACTTAACCTCCAAGTTGCCAAGGAAACCCCTCTTATTCTATTCAACCCTGTGTCTTCTTATACGCCCTAAACAAATGCTCCCTGAATTAGTAGATGAAGGGTGAGCTCAAGCTTTTAAACCTAGAGTAATTCAAAGCAAATTGTGGAATAGAAAAAAAAGTGTACAATTATTTCTCCTTCTAGCAAGTGTGACCCCTTGGTTTCCCCAGTTTCAGGCATCTCTATATCTCATTGGTTCTTTTTTGCTAGAGAACTCTGACTGAGAACAGGTTTTTGGTACCAGGAAGTAGAGTGAGCCAGTATCTAATACCTAAAAATGTAGACGTGGCTTTGGATTTGGGTGATGGGCAGAGGCTAGAATAATGTTGAGATACTTGATAGTAAGACCTATATTGCCTGGAAGAGACTGTTAGAATTTGGGATGTTAAAGGTAGTTCTGATGAGGTCTCAGAAGGAAGTAAAGACAACTTCAGAGAAAGCATCTATTTCTAGTTGTTGTTACTAAGTGTCTTCCAATCAGTTTCAACTCATAGCAATCCTGAATAGAGAGGGTTTCCGAGGAGCAGCTAGTAAGTTACATTATCCTGCAGCACCACGCCAGGACTCATTTTTTTTCTTAGAGAATACACACATAGTTGTGCACAGAATGTTTCCATAGCCATGAATGTTAAAGGTGTTTCTCGTTAAAAAAAAAAAAAAAAAAAAATTACTTCTGGTAAGCACAAGTATGAAGACCATGCTATTGGAAACTAGAAGGAAGGCAATCCTTGTTATAAAGTAGGGGAGAACCTGGCTGAATTACGTTCTGCTGTTTGTGGTCAAAAGTTCTGCTAACCAAAAGGTTGGGTGTTCAAACCCACTCACTCAGAGGCACCTGGTGATCTACTGCTGTAAGGTCAGAGAACCCTATGGAGTGTATTCTAGTCTGACACACATGGATCCCAGGACTCAGAGGCAACTCAACAACAACTGGCTTTTAGTTTTGTGGAACTGGAACCTGTAAGAAGATTTCCAGGCAAATATTGAAGTTTTGACCTGTTTTCTCCTTGCTACTTAGAGTAACATGCAAGAGGAAAGAGGCAAGTTGAGGAAGGAACTATTAAGTATAAAGGATCCACAACTGGAAAATGTCCATATTGCAAACCATAAGGAAGTTGTTCTGGAGGAAACACCGAAGGGTGGTTGGACAGCTGTTTGCTGAAGAGCTGAAGTATAGTTTATGGACTCAGTCCACCACCTCAACAGAAACCCTGCCCACTTGGATTCAAGGGACAGAGGCAAGACAAAATGCCAGAAGGGTGTCAGACCTAGGGGATTCAACAAGCAAGAAGCCAGCTAGTAGACCCAGGGCTGGCAAGGCTGCCCCACTCCCCCAAGTAGATCCAGAGGCAGAGTACCAAAGACAGAGGATCATTCAGAAGGGTTGAACTTGAGTGGAAGTTGCCCTGCTGGGCTTTGGAGTTGCTTGAGACCCAGTGTCCTTCAACTAAAGTGGGCACCTGTAAACAGGCTCTTTCCCACCATTGTACATTGGAAGCAATAACTCGTCATCTAGGTTTCATGAGTCCACTGATGGAAAGGAGCTTTTCCCCCAAGATGGATCATACCCAGAGTTCCACCCATTCTGGATGGAGGTGGTTTAGAAGATGAGAGACAAGACATTTTGAGTGGATGATATTTAGCTGAGAATTTGGAATTAGAGCTGATGCAAGACTTTCAGGGTCGCGGGGACGAATGAATACATTTGCACATGAGAAGGACGTAAATTTGGACAGCCAGATGGTAAATTGTGAAAACCTGAATTATGTTTCACAAAAAGATAATGTAGAAGTCATAACCCTTGTACATGTGAACGTGACCTTATTTGGAAATAGACTCTTTATTAATGCAGTGAATCCATCCGATATGCTTGGTGGTCTTGTGAGAACAGCAAAAGATTCACAGGCAGATACAGGGGGACCAGCCGTATGAAAATGGAGCCAGAGATTGGAGTGATGCATCTATGATGAGCCCAGGAACACCGAGGATTGCCAGGGGGCACCCGAAGCTCAAAGCAATGAAGAAGCATCTTCCCCTGCAGACTTCAGAGAGAGCATGACCCTGCCGACACCTTGATTTCAGACTTATGGCCTCCAGAGCTGTTTGTGGTACTTGTGATGGCAACTCTAGGAACACATTTCAACAGTGTCAGGGCAGAGGGGCTGCAGATGGAGCAGCTGCTCCTATTTGAACTTGGTACTGCTCTTTCATAGCGGCTGGGTCTGGGCTTGTTAATGTGGTTAAATCACGTCTAAACAGACTCCCCTTTCTTTTAACTAAGAGGAACCTGAGATTGGTTGGATTAGCTCAGCTTTGGGGAATAATTATAAAGTGTGTGTTTCATTTGATCCAAGAGTTTCAACTGATCATCTTTGTGTCTCAAGCTTTGAGTAATGCGATATTATGAGGCCCACCCTCCGTACACCACCAGGGGACATGGTGGCTGTCACCATAAAAATCAAACTGGATCCACAGGGGTGACAACGTGCCCAAAGATACAGACTGTCTTGGCTGCTGCACTGGGGCTCAGCAGCAGTGCTCCAGTCCCCTGGCCCACTGCCACCTTGAGATGGTTCTGGTGACCCCAGATCACAGCCTGGCTCCATCACAGCCTGGCCCCATGTTCTTGACTTGACAGCATCCAGATTAGCAAGAAAAACGCAGTGCTCGTTGTGGAGTTTTAGAGACAACACAAGAGAAGTGCTTTTGAGGACGTCTAAATCTCTTCAGACAGTACCTCCTTCAGCTGTGATGAAAGCCCCGATTCTCCTGGAGTCAAGCTTGTACATACCTGGGATCACACTCGTTCCTTTTGATCGTGTCTCTCAGTCAGAATCTGTCTGAGATCAAAGCTCATGGTGGCAGGCTGTCTTTTGAAGACTTTCTGAGAAGCAGGTCCCGGCACCCACGGTGTTGCTGCTCCAGATGAGCAGGTCGGTTAGAGAACACAATGTCTCAAGCCAGGTTTTTTCATCTCTATAAATACTTTTCCTTCATGTAGCAGGTATTGGCTCCTGGAATCGCCAAATGCAATGGACATGGTTTTTCGGCTCCCCACCTTTCCTCTGAAAATGGTTCTCCCCTGTACAGGATCCTGGAGGGATGGAAATGTGACCTGGATGTGTTTGCCAAAGAGGAGTTTGCTCTATGCCTGGAGTGTCTGTGGCCACCTTTGTCCATCTGGGGACAATGTCCGAGGATGGCTCCAGAGGAGAGGAGAACAGAGACAGCAAGGAAGAGGTGGTTCTGACCACTTTGTCTCCTGGATCTAGCTATACCTGAAGCTCCATCTTTCCCCTTTCACTGCCATTTCCATAAATGGATCGTCTGGTTTCTTAGAGCAGGGTTTGAGACAGGTGTTTGTCCCTTTTGGATGAGGGATTACCTGCCTTTTGGTAATGGCCTCCAAAGAGCTTAGAGCTGGAGCAAGGGTGCTGGCTTATTGGAATACTGGGGTGTGGGGAGCCGAGGGTAGACAGGAGGAAGGGATTATCTCCTGGTGGCTACGAGCTGCCTCCACTAAAGGTCTGGTTCTCAGGGAGCTGAACCCCCAAATCCACAGCTGGGGCCCTGGAGCTTCATGGAGAAGTTATGGTTCAGCCGCCACTGAAGGGGGTCTACCTTCAGCATGCTGGCCATGACTCTGAGTGGCCCCAGTGCAACCTCCATTATAAACCATTACCTGTAGAACCTGCAAACAGGGAAACAAGGCACGGTCTTCATTTGGGTATGGCATGGGGAGGCTCATTGGGACCCAAAGAAGGGTGAGGGATGGCTCAGCCACACCCAGGCATCCAGCAATGTGACCACTGTGGTGGATGGACAGGCACAGAGGCCCTTGTGATGCTGACCAGCCTCTCCTGGTCATTTCAGCCACACCCACGTGAGTGAGTGCCCGCAGACCAACCAGTTTCTGCTCCTTCACACTGAACACAGGCATTGGTTTCACACTCTCACACACACACACACATACACACACACAAACACTCCTACCCACTGCACTGAGTCCATTCCAACCCATAGTGCCCCTACACAGGGGAGTGGCCAGCCTTATTTCTCCATTTCATCAGAGCAGCTGGTAGGCTTGAACCACTGACCTTGTGGTTAGCAGCCTAGTACCTAACCCACAACGCCACCAGGGCTCCCTCCTCACTCACTAGCCACAGATGCTGTTAGTGTACATGCCTCTTAGCAACAGGATCTCGGCCGGAAATGCCCCCGGCTCATGCCCGCTGGCCTATTTTAAAGCCAATGCTGGGTGAACTCATCCCTCCTGCCCCCACCTACGTGAGAAATCTATTTAAAGATCTGACTTTCTTTACATCCACCTCCTAGATGGTCCACAGGAGGTAAGTGGGACATAGAGACAGGAAGGGGTGGGGAGTGTGAAAGGGAAGACCAGCCCCAAGTGGAATCTGGCTTCTAACGCCCCCAATATCACAAGAGACCACCCCAGGAGCAGGGCCCCACCATCACTCCCATGTCACTGCAGCTTGACCAAGGGACTGAGTAGGGCATCAGGGTGGTGACTGGTGCCCATGTTTTCTTAGGGTGCACTGAACCCCCTGCCAGCCTCCCCCGGGGCCCCCAGAGCCTTCTGGGGTGAAAAGCATCCTCTCAGCTTTCTGTCTGGTCTGGGGTATCCCCACTTGTCTGGGACCTCCAGCTCCCATCAGTTGCCTGGTGTCCTGGCGTCCACATAGTGTCCACCTAGGGTCCACTATCATCTACCTAGCACCCACCTAGCATCCACCTAGCACCCACACAATGTGCGCCTAATGTCCACCTAGCATCCACCTAAAAACATCTGCCTAGCGCCCACCTAGTTTCCACCTAGCATCCACCTAGCGTCCACCTAACAGCCGCATAGTAGTGTGGCTCAGGCTGGAGTTCATGTCCCAGAGAAGGCTGACTGTCCCAGGACCCGCCCAGCGAAGCGGACACCTTGATGGGCCCAGGACCTGGCGGATAAGACAGCATCCCGAGCGGAGCATGGGCCCTCTGGAAGGGACAGTGGCCTGCCCAGCTCAGTAAGCCACAGACCTGTCCAGGTCCAGGAGCTATCCCTGCCCGAGGCTGCTCTCCTGAAGGAGCCCCACTCTCCAGCTCATGGCCGTCTGTCTGTCCCTGCAGGCTCAGCCCCAGTGTCCAGTCAATGGGAGGTAGGAGCTCACTAGCAGCTCCATTCTCCAGGTGCGCAGTGCTGGGCTGGGAAGGCCTCAGCGTGGGCCACACTCTGGACTCCTGGGGGCTGAAGTCCCAGTTGCCTCCACCCACCATGAGGCTCAGGCCACAAATGGTGCCCCCTTTCCTGGTTTGCACCTGTGGCTCCCACTGGGTAGGGGTGGGGGGACTGGACCAGGTTGCTGGGCAGGGCCCCACTGCAGTGTCCCCGAGCCCCTGCTCTGACCAGAGTCCTGTAAATGGAGACTCTGCTGCAGTTGCCACCACTGTCAGAGCCCTCCCCACCCAGGGTCAGATGCCCACGGTCCCTGCTCCTCGTCACTGTCTGCACCGTCTTCTTCCAGGACAGTCCAGCCCCTCCCCCACCCCACCCAGGTCTCACCATGTCAACACTCTTCATGACCACTGTGTGGGGGTCTTCCTCTTCAGGAGTCACAGACCTAGTGCCCACCCCCCTAAGGCCGCCTGAGTGCCCTACATCCTGGAAAGTCGTCCCCAATCACCCTGTCCCCAGTCCAGGGGTGTCCAGGCACAAGTGAGTGAAGGCCCTTGGGAGGAAGATGTAGACGCTGGAGGAGAACTCACATGCTGGGGATGGGGGATGACACGGGCACAGGTGGGAGGATGCAGGTGCTGAGGGGGTTGCGGGCGCTGCAGGGATGCAAGCACTAGGGGAGGACAAAGACTCTGGAAGCTGTTATGTGCCATAAGTGGACAACAAGTGGCAGTGGGCAGTGGCCCTGTGGGGGAAGCATCCACTGCCAGGGTGGGGTCACAGCCCAAAGAAAGACGGTGAATCCCTGCTCCCACGCACTGCAGGCTAGCCCCCCCTCCCTGCCCCCTGTCTCTGCTTCAGGTGGGGGATCCAGAACACCATGGGTCTATCCCCTCTCCGAGGTCTGCTGGGCCTTCCTCAGGCTGGATCTCAGCCTCCTCGGAGACTGGTGAACAGTCTGGGACTCCCCACCCCGCCTGGCACAGCTGTGGGCCTTGGTGGGAGATGGACTCCCGGGAGAGGACCCTCATGCTTGACTCAGTGTGGGCTGGGAGGGTCCAGAGAGACCCAGGAGCCAGTTGTGTTGACAGGGAGAGGTGGGAAAGACGGAGGGGAGGCCAGTGGTGGGTGTTCTGGAATAGATGTTCACTGAGTCCAGCCAAGGGTAGGGGTTGCTGCAGACCATCCAGGTGACCCACACCTGCCTGCCCAGTAGTCAAGCCTCCCACCAGCCCCCACTGCTCCTTCTAGGGTCACCCTGTGCCCAGAGAGCCTGCTCCCTCCCCGTGGGTCCTAACCACTCCTTGGGTTTGGCAGGGCCCCCCATCTGTGAGTCCCCTGTGAGTGACTGAATCCATGGGGAAGTGTGAGGTGGTGGGCAGGGCTGACCCCTGCCCCTGACCACCCACCCCCAGCATTGTCCCTCTGCAGGCCAAGGGCAGATGAGCTGGCAGCACCACAAAGGGCCTTCTGGGAAGTGGGGTTATTTTTGCTCACTGGGAACAGAAGTCACTCTGACTGATCTTGGCTGCTGGCTGTCACAAGGACAGCTTTGTGCCCTCCACCCTGGGCCCCCACCCCCAGGCTCAACCAGAAGAGAGAGAGGGAGAGATGCAAACAAAGCCACTGATGACCCTTCCTGTCCCTGGGGCCAACAGTCCTGAGTCAACAGTGGTAGGCAGGAGCCTCTCGGAAAGCCACCACCAACCCAGTAGTGAGTAACCATCCAGGCATTCCCAAAGACGCAAGGCATCAGCCTGACCAGGGACTGACCAGTCCTGCTGTCCCCCAGAGTGTCTCACTAGTCCATGTAGCCCCCCACTTCAGTGGCCATCACCCATTTTGTTCCGGGTGCATCCCAACCCCCCAACCCCTTCCTAAGCTCACAAATGCTCCCTCTGCGCCAGGCAGGACCCACCCTGAGGGGGTACTCTGAGACCTCCCTCCTGGAGGGGCCTGGGCCACCTGAAGCCTCCAGTGTGGCCGTCCCCCCATGAGGGGAGAAGGACACCTGATCCCCAAGGCTCATGTGGAAGGGAATTTGCCAGGTCATTTTAGCCTAGAAATGAGAAGTTGGAGGTGAGACAGAAACCGGACTGGGCTAAGAGGAAAGTGAGGCAGTCAGAGGGACACTTCGGCCACCAGGGGATAGTAAGTGCAGGGGCCCACTCTTACCCCGCTGCACACTAAGGCCCCAGCTCCAGTGCCATCACCATGGTCATTCCCGCATGACTGGCCAGTAGAAGGTGCCCCCACCCCCACCTGCTTATCCTGACACTGTCCAGCAAGGAGGGACCCCAGGATAGCTTCCCACAGGTAAACTATGCAGAGACCCTTCTGGCCTCCAGGGAAAATGCTAATTGTCCTGACCACCACTTCACCTCGCTCCTTTTACTCCCTTCCCAGAATGCAGATGTGATGGCTGGAGGAGCCGCAACCACATTGTAGCAATGAGGACACATGTTTCACACAAAACGTAGTGAAGCACAAGCATAAAGAATCCAGGGTCCTTGTTGGCGCCTCTTCCCTCCTCCCACGCTGTATTTTAGGAGACAAGTGTATCCCTTTTGTTTACACCACTGTTCCTTTTTTCTGATTTTTGTAGGCAAGTCTGTTCACGGCCATCTTTGATTTCAACACATTTTTGTTGAGGACTAGATGTTGAGTATCTGTGGTGGGCATAGCAGCTTAATGTCTTAAAGCAAGTGTGACAGACTCAGTCCTAGAACCTGGAAGCAAAGCACACGAGCCCGTAAACCAGCCTCAGGGGTTCCCTGGAGCCCTCTGGGTTCTGGTTTGGGTCCAGGCTGGTTCCGTGACAGCTGTGGACAGGAAGAAGGCACTGGGGCTGGTTGGGAGGGTCCTGGCATTATCCAAGCCGAAGCCCCTGAGAGCAACAGCAATGGAAAACGGAGTGACAGTGACGCTGGCAAAGACCAAGGGACCATTCCTCTGGGAGCTGGGAATATGTCCTAGCATGGTCACCACAGCAGTGCCAAGGCAGCTCCGGCTTCCAGAGCCAGCCGCAGGGATATGTCAGGCCCTGCGGCATAGAGAAGCACAGTTCTAGCAGACACGTCCTGTCCTTCACATCTCAGGCAGTGGCCCTCAGTCAGTGCCCTCCAGACATCCCTTCCCTGCTGCCCAGAACTTCCTGAAACTGAGTGAAGGTCCTCAGTGAACCATGGCAGCTTTTGTTCATCAAAAGTCACTGTGAGCTGGTAAAATCCAAGCTCCAGAGCCCACAGACCTGGGCCAGACACGCATGCAGAACTGACACGGAATATGCCTCAAGTGCGGGCGACAGAAGGAGACATGAGGGGCATGAGCGAGAGGCCAGGAGAGACGAGATGTTCTCTCACCAGTCCCAGTCCCCTCTCTCCTTCCCAGGGTCACCCTGTGACCCTCCCCGTGGGCTCTCCTCAGGGACCCCCATCTGTGAGACACCTAAGAGTGAACCCAGGGGGAAGGGCTCATGAGCATAGTTCATGAGGGGGGCAGGGAAGGGGGGCAATGCTCACTGCACACTCCGTGGGATGGCTGGAATTAAACAGACAAACAGAGTCAATCCGAAGTCTCCTGAAGCATTGATGGGACTATAAATTATTAGGAGGACTTTGGAAAACAGGTTGGCAGCGTTCACTGAAAGCTGAGCTTTTGCATAATGTGTGACATGTTGATTTGCATGTGTCTGTGAACAGGTGTAAGTATTCCCAACAGAAACATGTCCCAAGAGGCCTGGTGCTGGAGAGTAAGGACAACAGAGCTAAACACACCCTGGTCCTGAAACAGCCTCACAATTGCCACTCTTGAGCCCATTCTTGCTGCCACCGTTTCGATCTGTCATGTTGAAAGTCTTCCTCTTAGTCACTGACCCTCTACTCTACCACACACGATGTCCTTCTCCAGGAACTGGTCCTCCCTGACAGCATGTCCAAAGTGAGAGATGGAGTCTCGCCACCTTCCCTTCTAAGGAGTAATCAATCCACTCTTTCTTCTTCTGAGCCCATCTCCAAGACGGTTGTACCTGTGAGTTCAGGCCATTGAGAGACGACCCTATTTTTCTAGCAACGGGTCCTTCCCAATAACATGTCCAAGTAACCAAACCGAAATCTCACCATGCTCACTTCTAAGACTGATGAGTTTGTTCTTTTGGCAAGCCACAATAAATGCAAGTATTCTTTGCCAACATCATATTTCAAATGCGTCACTTTCTTCCATTTCCTTTCTCAAAGGACAAAAGAGATGTCAATCTGATGACTGAGGCATCTGACCCATGTCGGAGTCTTTTCCATTTCCTCATGCATCCCAAAGTTGGATAATGGGAAAGGAAGAGCAGATACGTAAAGTGCGTGTTCATCCTGTGAGAGGTTATAAAACCCCTTGTGTAGCCGATCCCCAGAGGTTTACCTTTTTGATTAGCATCTGACTTCTTCAACAACTAGGTTCCTTGTGGGATGTTACAGAGCAATGAAAATGACACCTCTCAGCTCCACCAAATGACAAGAAAGTATCTCATAAGCTGAATACATTTGGTGCAATATGGCACATTCTATGAGATCCCATTTGTGAGAAGGGTAAAAACTGGCAAGGCTCAACCACAAGGTCGGCAGTTCAAACCCACTCCTCTGAAATCCTATACAGCGGGGCTCTGTGTCAGAATTGACTCAACATCACTTAACAACACACTTGATGTGGACACCAGATACGGTTAGCCTGTCTAGCTCTCTTTCCCCTGTCTCTCTCTCTGTCTCTCTCTCTGTCTCTCTCTCTGTCTCTCTCTGTCTCTCTCTGTCACTCTCTAGCTCAGTGTCTGTGTCTTTCTCTATCTCTTGTCACTTTCTGTCTGTCTCTCTCTCTTTCCCATGGCTCTCTGTCTCTGTCCCTTTGTCCCCTCTCTCTAGCTAGGTCTCTCGCCGATGACACAGGATGATCAGGTGCATGGTCCCTGGACCGTGCAGGGGACAGGCCAGGTGTCCCCCCTGAAGTGAGGGGTCTGTGCAGGCTAAGGTTGGAGGAGTATCCTGCAGGGAGGTGACCAGAGCTCCAGGTCAGTTTCTGTGGCTTCACTGAACTTCACTGTCCTGGTGTACCAGAAGACTGTCTAGGCTTTGACCTTGACCAGAGAGGATTTGGATGGCACTCCAGCCTCCGTGGATGTGCAGTCGAGACTCACTGAAAGGAAGGAGTACAGGCCCATGGGCATTTGGGGCCAGCAGTTGAAGGACCCATGATCTCCAGGATTATCTTAACTTGCAACCTAATATTTCTTTGAGTTTCCGGAGCTCCTTGGGCCCCAGAAATTGCCTTGCTTTCCAGCATCTTCCACAGAGGTGAACTCTTTAGGGACTATTTTGTTCCTGGACCTGATTTCATGTCAAAAAATCACAGACAATGAAGAGAGTGCAATTGTAGCTCGTGGCTACTGACCCCTCCCCCCTACTTCCTGCCCAGTGACCAAGGCCACCCCTTGCCCTCTCTGTCACTGCCGTTAGGATCGCTGGATATAGGGACAGCTTCTGTCAGGCCAGCCTTGAGCAGGAGGGATCTGGCTCGTCCCAGGACCACAATGCCAACAGCTGTTGCCAGCAGCATCCCAGCTGCTCATCGGAACAGGGACCCTCCCTGAGCACCAACTCCAAGCCCCAGAGGTTGG